AGGTCAAGGAATATCTCACTTTTGTCTTTGTATCCCTTGTGACTAACATAATACCTAGCACATTGTATTTATGTAATGAATGTTTGTTGGTTGAGTACTTTGGGAGAAGGGACTTGGAATAAATTGTGGTTTATTTCTATCTTAAATGTATTTTTCATTCTCACCACAAATTCTTGCTTCACCATTTCTCCCTGCTGCCCAGGCTATTTAACATCTTCTCTGGCTATAGAAGAGCTTACTACCCTACTCTGACCCTGGGTCATAGACTTAACCCAATAGTTAACCAATTAAACTATGCGTCATTCTCCATCTTGTCTCCCTTGCCCCCTTGTTCTTCTGTAGTTCATATCCCACTAATCTTCAGCCTTAGATCACTACACCATCTGCATTCTTAACTGCTGAACTAGCTGAGGAAGTTTTATATTTGTTGTTTTTCTGTCATTTTCAGTTGAGTTTGACTCTTTGTGACCCCATTTGGGGTGCTGTTGGAAAAGATACTAGAATGGTTTGCCATTTCCTTCTCCACCTCATTTTACAGATGAGGAAACTAAGGCAAATTGGGGTAAGTGACTTGTCGACGGTCACACAGCTAGAAAGTCCAGGTTTGAATTTGGTAAAATGAGACTTCCTGACTCCAGGTCCTTCACTCTATCCACTTTACCATCTAGCTGCCCCAAGTTATGCATACATACCACCATTCCAAATTGTTTTTACATCATCTTCATCCTCCAAGATATCCATCTCCTAACTCCCTCCCCAAGAGCCATGTCTTATAACAAAGAATTAAAAGGAGTAAAAAATGTCCACTTTAGCAAACTAACATACAGCCACATTCAATATGATAGCCATAATCTCCCACCTCTGCAAAGAAGGGAGGAAGGTACATAAATCCTCATAATCTCTTCTTTTGGGGCCAAATTTAGTTATTATTTCACAGCATTGTTTTCATTTTTTTGTTTTTTCCATTTATAGTTTTGTAATCATTGTGTCTATTATTTTTCTGGTTTCACTTACTTCAGTTCATGTTTCTGAGTATTCATTATATTCTTTGTTTCTTTCAGTATAGTAATTTTCTATGACATTTATGCACTATAATTCATCTAGCCACGCTCCACTTAATCCAGAAAAAGTGCTGGATTTGGAGTCAAATGACCTAGGTATAAATCTACCTCCTACTTCCCTAGGTGACCTTGGGGAAGTCACTTAGCCTTTCTCTTTGGGCTTATGTTTCCTTATGTTTAAAATGAAAGGGTTGGATTAGATGACCCAAGGTTCCTTTTAGTTCTAAATTTGTAATCTGCTTTGTTTCTAGTTCTTTGTCACTGCACAAAATGCTGCTATAAATATTTTGGTGTATAGTGGGCCTTTCCTTTTATCATTGGCCTTGTTGGGATACGTGCTCTGCTGTGGGTTCTCTGAGTCCAAGGATATATGGACATTTTTATCATTTTCTCAGCATACTTCTCAATAGCTTTCCAGAATTGGTTTTTCAGCTCCACTAACAGTGTATTAGGGTGCTTATCTTTCTGCATTGTTTTATTAATCTGATTCTTTCCTCAAGCTCCTGGTCATAGTTTAAATCCTCTCATTCAGTAGATATCCTTTACTGAGAAAACTTTTTAAAATTATTTTTTATTTTATTTGAGAACCACATTCTTTCCCTCTCACATAGCCCCTTGTCCCCACCAGTTGGGAGAACGAAACAAACAAAACCCCTATTACAAACATAAATAGTCAAAGAAGTCAAATTCCCACGTTGGCCATGTTAATATACATATGTACGTATATATAAGTGTGTGTGTTTGTGTGTGTGTGTGTGTGTTGTGTGTGTGTGTATGTGTGTGCTCTGAGTACATCATCTTTTATTAAGAGGTAGGTAACAATTAATCTTGAGTTCTCTGGAGTAGTGATCAGTTACTGTGCTCAGAGTTCCTAAACCTTTCAAATTTGTTTGTCTTTACAGCGTTACTATAATAGTATAAATTATTCCCCGGACTCTAATCATTTCACTCTGCATCAGTTCATATAAGTTGTACCACATTTCTCTGAAACCACTACCCTTTTTTAAATAGCACAATAAATATTATTCCATCTCTCTCTCTCTCTCTCTCTCTCTCTCTCTCTCTCTCTCTCTCTCTCTCTCACACACACACACACACACACACACACACACACACACACACACACACACACACATTCAGCTATTCTTCAATTGATAGGCACACTCTCAGTTTCCAATTTTTTTTGCCATGGAGAAAAAAGTTGCTATAAATATTTTTGTATGTTTAAATCTTTTTCTTTTTACTTTGATCTCTTTGGGGAATAGACCTACTAGTGGTATTATTGGAACTATTTCTGTTGCTTTTAGACTTAACCAGCCATCTTGTAGCACTGAGTTGTAATTTTTATTATTTTATTCAATAACTTGTGTTCCCTGTTTTTTACTTAAAGAGTAAAAGGTAGCATTATTTTCTATTTCTTTTTCAAAATTATAGGAAAAAACAACAAAATTCAATACTCTGTAATATTTAAACACAAAAATAATTTTTGTTTCTTGATTGAACTCTCCTGACTCCATTGGGGCAAAAAAGATCCCAAGCTGAAATGAGGAGTATTGTTGATTTGAATGGAAAAATTCAAGTATTAGTCCTAGGGCATGCTTTGGGAGCAAGTTTAAGGGGGCAGAATGATTACAAAAGTGTGAGGGGGATGAACAATACTTGCTTATAGGATCATAGGATTTAGAACTGGAAGGGACTTTAGAAATAGTATAGACCAACCCCCTCATTATTTTATATTCCTCATTCCTGAGGAAACTGAGACCCAGAAAAGTTAAGTCTCTTGCCCATTATTCATAAATTAAGGATTAGAGTTGTGACATGAACGCAGGTCCCTTGATTTCAAATCCAGCACTCTTTTCTATACTACATAATCAATGGATTGTTTTAAATAAATTTCAAATATATTTTCATTGTACATTTAAAGGAACTGACTTTTCTCTCTGAGTATTAATTTTGCTTTCTATTTTGAAGTTGTCTATATTGCAATTAATATGCATACTCCAAACATATTGCCAGGGAAGTGGATAACTTTATGGTATGCTAGCCAAAGGAAGAAAAACCATTCTTCAGGAAAATTTCCTTTGGATAGCATTTTGATATCATAGATTTAGAATTGTAAGGGACCTCAAAGGTCATTTTATCCAACCCCATAATTTTATAGCCAAGAAAGCATAAAAATCGATGTGGTCTTTTACTGTCCTGCTTTTCAGTGAGTACTGTTTTTACAGTCTCCGCAGCAAGTAAGGTTATATCCCCACTGTATTGGTGGGAACACTTTTGGATTGTTTCATACAGCTTGGGCTACAGATTTTAGGGAGGGTATTGATAGCAGAGCATGCTGGTGATGCTAAAGAGCATCCAGAATTAGCCAGCTGCAATAGGAAAGAGCTTTGAAATAAAACCATGTGAGGATCATTTTGAAGAATAAAGAAAAGAATAAATAGAGAGAAGAATACAGCTGTCTTCAAATATTTGAATGTCTTGTGTGGAAACCAAATGAGACTTGTTGTTGGGTGGTCCAAGAAGGCAGAACTAAGAACATTTGACAGAGAAGCAAAGGAGAAAATTTAGGTTTGATTTATGAAAATACTTCTTAACAATCCATGGGATCTAAAAATGGAAAGGTCTATTTCAGTTTGGAGGAGGTTCCCGGTCCCAGGAGGGCTTAAAATGAAGGTTGGATAACTACTTATCAGGGTATTGTAGAGGACATTCCTGTCCAGGTACAGTTGGGACTAGAGACCTCTGAGTTCCCTTGCGGCTCTGAGGTTCTTTAATACTTGAATCCATTCCATTTGTAGAAATATCCAGGAACAGCCATCCTAGTGCAATTAAAAGACCACCTCAGAGACCCTGGGTTCCAAACATGGCCCCACTCTTCATCACTTGTATGACCTTGAGCAAGTAGTCCCTTCATCTCTCTAGGATTCTATTTCCACATGTGTAAAATGAAGAGGTTGGATTAGATGATGTCTAAAGTGCCCTTTCTACTCAAAACCTATGACTTTATCTATAATCTTCCTTCTTAATTACCCTCAATGGACATTCAGTAACTGTTGGCCTTCCACACAAGTGAGTCATGAATGATGATGTCCTTGGGTACATAGTAGCCTCTGTGCCCTATTTTCTTTTCTTTTGAGTTCCACAATGATTGTTCAGTAACAAATAATCATAGTTGACATTTGTATAGCACTTTGTAGTTTATACAGCAATTTCTGTATGTTAATTTTATCTTTACAACAATGGAGAATGCTTTACCCCATAAAGTGGGTAGAGCAAATATCATTGTCTACCTTTTGCAGATGAGGAAAAAGACTCAGAGACCTGCTGCCACATGGCTAATAAGCATCAGAGCTGGGATGTGAGCCGAGATCTTTGGACTTCAAATCCAGTGTTATTTGCAATGCCTTGTTCCACTCTGCCATTTTAAAAAATAATCCTGCTATGGAACTGTCCTTTTCTAAATGTTCAGCTTAGATTTGTGCAACTCTAGATGTGGAAATGTTTTGTAGGTTCTTCTACTTCAAGTATATCCCTTTAGTGACAGTGTGGATTTATGTTGTTCTTTAGTCAAGTCTCAGGCCCACCCTGCAAAGGCAACCTGGCCTTTGCCTTCTGTAGAACAAACACTCACATTAAGCTAGGGTTGATATCGATGTGGGGTGGGGGAAAGGAGTAGGGGGGAGTAGAGAGAGAGACAGACAGAGACAGATAGACAGATGTGGAGAAAGAGAAGGAAATTTCATTGTTTTGTGGTTTTCCCTGCCTATACTCTTAACCCCTGCCTCAGCCAAAATCTCCTCCAGACTACTCATTATCCTGAAGATGCCATACATCTTAGCCTAGATCTTTTTTGTGCCCAAATTCCATAAAATGTTGGCTTCTTCATTTTCAAAAAGTCATCTTCCTGGAATAATCTTGAATCTCTTGTATTTGCAGGTGGATGGAAGTCTGTCTAGTTGAAGAACTGCCACCAACCACTGAACTGGAAGAAGGACTAAGAAATGGAGTCTACCTTGCAAAACTGGCCAAGTTCTTTGCCCCTAAAATGGTCTCAGATAAAAAGATCTATGATGTGGAACAAACGCGTTATAAGGTAACTGATTGGCTTTGGCTTCCAGCTAAACCCAACATTTTGTTCCCTTAACTGCTTTTACTTTGTTGGTGTTCTTGAGGGGATTTGGGGGAAGGGGAGGACAAGGCCCTCAAACCAGTTCCCAGAATTGGAAGTTTTGGGACTCTTAACAGTAATTTCCTTAAGCAACAGTAGTTTCTGGTAGAATTATTATTATCTGGAACTCTGATATTTTGGGCTTTCTTTACTCCCTTTTCATATCCCTCTCCCTTCTACTGTCACTTTTATGCTGTCCTTCATATTCTGCTTCAGTCATTTGTGAATTTTGTTGGTACCAGTAAAGAAAGGCACTCGTTCCACTTCTGCTTTCATTACAACAAAATTTATTTCTAATTCCTCATGTTTCCATTAAGGTTTTAAGTCATCAGCTGGGACTTGAACTTGTGGCCCTAAAAGAGCCAGTGCCAGTGTATTAAAACGATTAGAAATTGGCCACAGATGAGTGTGAGGCAGGCTTTCTGTTACGTTTGGTGTTTAAGAGAGACATGCTGTTGCTTTTTATGTGCAGTGAGCATAAGGAATTACGTGTTTCATAACTAATTTCATGAGGACTCTGAAGTGAAAGGCTGCTTTTGTCTCTCAGTGCATCCTTTGAATTCTAGAGGAATTCTTGGGTGTAGCAGTATCTGGGAGCAGGGGAGTAAGCAAATTGCAAACAAACAACAACTCGAATCTGCCAAAATTTATTAAGTGGCTATTATGTGGCAAATAACTGAGGGATACATAGGTGAAAAAGAGATACTGTCTTTGGCTACAGGGAGTACAGTCTAAGAAGTGAGATGTATGTATGTGAGATAGTGTGATCAGGGTACAGGAAAGATCTGGAAAAATGTTTGTAAGAAATTTGAGGACAGAGACATCACTTTGAACTGAGGAAAAGAAGAAGGCCTCAACTGGGCCTGGAAAGGAGAAGAAAGAGAATTTCCAGGTGTGGGAAAGGTGGAAAAAGTCAGCTCCAGGCAAGGGGAATAGCCTGCATGAATGTGGCAGGTGGGGAAAATGATGAACAAAGGCAGGGAAAAATGAGTCTTGGAGAATGCAGGAAGGAGAAATATTGTGAAAGAAAGGTGGGGAGGATGTTTGGAAGTGAATTGTGGAGGGCCTTAAATGCCAAAGATTTATAAAACACTCTCTATAATAAGTAGTTCTAAAATGAAGAATTAAAAATGTGGAACATGCTGCAGATGAATAATTATCTTTTATTTTAAAAAGAAATTATTAATTTAACAACTTTTATTCCTATGAAGCTAATCTCAGATGGCCAAGTCCTTATTTCTATAATATTTGAATTTAGTTGCTTCAATCAGAATGTGTCAGATCCCAAACTGAATTTGTTGTCTTTCCCTCCATGACAGTCAGCTTTTTTTTTTCTGATTTCTCTATCTCTCCTGATGGCATTATCATTTTCTCAGCCACCTATCTTTCATTAGGCCATAGATTTAGATCTGAAAAGGACAATAGAGGCCATAGATAAAAGGACCACAGTGGCCATCTAATCTAACTCCCTCATTTTTCAGATGAGGAGACTGAGCTTTAAAAAACTTAATTGGGGGCATCTAGGTTGCACAGTGGAGAGAGCACTGGCCTGGAGTCAGGAGGACTTGGGTTCAAATGTGGCCTCACACACTTGATACTAGCTGTGTGACCCTGAGCAAGTCACTTAACCTCAATTGCCTTGCCAAAAAAAAAAAGTTAATTGACTAGCTTATAGTCATACAGGTGGTGTCACAGGCTGAATTTGGACTCAGGTCTTCTGTATCTAAATCCAGCCAGCCTATCTACTAAATCATAGTATCTGTCTTCCAAGAGTTGAAATATTGGGGTTTCTTCTCTTTGTTCCCTATCAAGAGCTAGGTGGCACAGTGGATGAAATTAGGAAGACCTGAGTTTAAATGCAGACTCAGACATTTACTAACTGTGGGACTCTGGCTGGGCAGGTGATTGAACCTCTCTCCCTTAGTTTCATCAACTTTAAAATAGGCATCATAAATTGCACCTACCTCCAAATATCGTTGTGAGGATCGAGTGAGATAGTATTTGAAAAGTGCTTCGCGCTGTGCATGGCACATAGTAGGTGCTTAATAAATGCTTTGTTTCCTTCCTATCAGTAAATTCTTCCTATCCAATATCTGCCAATTGTACCTACATGATGTATTCTGTTCAATTAAGGGAGTGCCTACAATGTGCTTGGATCTGCAGACCTTTCCCAAAGGGAATTTAAATACAACTGGGAGCATACAATATGCACACAGATGAACAAATACAAGATCATTTGAGAAGGAATAGAGCACCTGCAACTTAGTGAGATCAGGAAAGGCTTTAGACTCTAAGAGGTAGAAGTGAGAAGGAAATACATTCAGCGGATGCAGAACAGCCTGTATAAAAACACCGAGGTGGAAAATAAGAGTGAGTGCCACATTTGGGGAATAGCAAGTAAGTTAATCCAGTTGGAACACAGAGTTGAAGTTGAGTGTGAAATAAGTATGGAAATTTTTTCTGGACCCTTACCATCAAGAGCCTCAAATGTCAAGCTTAGGAGTTTGTATTTGATCCTAGAGACAATTGGGATTCATGGAAGGGTCTTTTTTTTTTTAAATTGTATTTTATTTTTCCCCCCAATTACATGTTGAAACAATTTTTAAACATTTTTTCTAAAGTTTTGAGTTTCAAATTCTATCTTTCCCTCCCTTCCTCCCTCTTCCCTCCCTGAGCAATGGTAAGCAATCGGATATAGGTTATACACATGCAAGCATGTAAAACATTTCCATATTGGTCATTATGTACAAGAAGACTCAAATGAAAAAAAAGAATTTAAGAAAGAAAGTGATAAGTAACATGCTTCAGTCTGTATTCAAACAATATCAGTATGTTCTCTAGAAGCAGATAGTATGCTTCATCATTAGTCTTTTGAGCTTTTCCATCATGAGTCTTTTGGAGTTGTTTTAGATCCTTGCATTGCTGTGAAGAGCCAAGTCTATCAAAGTCAGTCATTGCACAACATGGCTGTTACTGTGTACAATGTTCTTCTGGTTCTGCTTACTTCACTCAGCATCAGACCATACAAGTCTTTCCAGGGTTTTCTGAAGTCAGCACATTCATCATTTCTTATTGCACAATAGTATTCCATTACATTCATATACCACAACTTGTTCAGCCATTCCCTAATTGATGGGCATCCCTTTGATTTCCATTTCTTAGCTACCACAAAAAGAGCTGCTATAAATATTTTTGTACAAATAGGTCCCTCCATTTTTTTGATGTCTTTGGGATATAGACCTAGCAGTGATATTGCTGGACCTAAGGGTAAGCACAGTTTTATAGCCCTTTGGGCATAGTTCCAAATTGCTCTCCAGAATGGTTGGATCAGTTCACGACTCCACCAACAGTGCATTAGTGTCTCAGTTTTCCCATATACCCTCCACATAGAAGATTCTTGATAAGGGGAATGACATTGTCTGATAAATTAGGAGTCTATGGCAATCATCCATGTATGAGGAATTTGACTGTAAGACTAGTATTTGAATTTAATTGCTCCCAAATTAAGCAAGAGATTAGTTGAATATGGGAGGAGAGAGAACAGGTGCAAACTTGGTGGTTACACTAATTAGTAAATGGTGTCCTCCACAGAAAAAGGGAAAATGGAAGGAGGGGTGAGTTGAAGAGGGATGTTAATGAATTCTACTTTGGATGTGTGAGTTTTGAGATTCCTATAGTATATCTAGGAGATGTTGACAAAGCAGTTGGTAATGGAGCTCAGGAGAGAGAGCCAGGCTAGATATATAGATCCCAAAGTCAGTCATCTGCTTAGACATGGTAGTTGAATCTTGAGGTGCTGGTTCCAATTCCCAAGAGAATAGGTGGAGGAGGGGAGAGGGAGAAAGATAGGGAGTGTGAAAGGAGGAGAAGGGGAAGAGGGAGACATAGGAGTAGTAAGGGGGAAGACGGCCAGGGAAGAGAGAGTGGACAGAGAAAGAGAAAAAGTGAGAAAGAAAAAACAAAAAGAGATAGAGACAGATCCTCTTAGGAAATTAGCCTTTGAGGACATGTACCATTAAGAAGAATGAAGAGGAGTCAGGCAGGTAAGAGGGGAAACAGGAAAGAGCAGGGAAACTGACTGGGGAAAGGTCAAAAGAGGTGGTTAGCAGTGTCAAAATGAAGATGAAGATGAAGACTAGGTCATCAGATAGGACCCAGTACTCCTAAGACTTCTTTGTAGCATTCCCTAGCTCTTCTTCCTGCCTGCCAAATCCAAGTAATTGCTCATACTCCCATGCTTCGGTGGCATTCTGTTTATAATTCTCCTGTAACTACTCCCACTGCCCACTGTGTGTACATACTTTGTCACTCCTAAACAATTATTTCCTTGAGTTCTCTGAAAACTGAAAAGTGCTACCTAAATGGAAGCTTTGGTTACTACTGAGGAACAGAACCAGGTCCTCTTTATCTGTATAGTATTTTAGAAATTTATATGCTAAGTACTTAGTTAATTAAATTCATTTCTATTTAAAGAAAATTGTAACTGAGTCTATTAATCTAATAAGTCTAAAACAGAAACCCACAGTAATTGAGTTACTCATTAACATGTATGTGAATTAGGTGAAGATTGAAATTTTCCACATTTATCACGTCACTTATTATATCATTCAACATTTCTTTAGATAGATTATTTTCACAGTTATAGCCTATGATTTAAAACATTTGGGTGGTTGTTTGTACTTTTCCCTCAAAGAAAGAAGAGGAAAATGTTAATGTAATGATTATGACTAATTTGAAAGGAAGAGTGGTATTGTGGTTGGTGAGCTGTCCTAGGCAGGAAGACCTGGGTTCGTTGAGTCACTTAACTCAGGGTTTCTGGCAACTCTAACAATAAATAGAGGAACAATTGCCCATTTCATTGGTAGAGGGAGTCTTCTCATTAAGAGTACCCTAAACAATGAGATCGAGGTATGTACTCTTCTTCT